ATTATTTGAAAGTGTATCTTTAAATTTAAATTTGTAAATTGAAATTTCCAAACAGATGGGAGGACTTAATTTTAGTTTTATTGTTGATTTATGATTTTATTCTATAGCAGTTTGAGAACATGATCTGCACGATACCAATTCTTTTTTTTTCAAAGATTTTATTTTTCCTTTTTCTCCCCAAAGCCCCCCAGCACATAGTTGTATATTCTTTGTTGTGGGTCCTTCTAGTTGTGGCATGTGGGACGCTGCCTCAGCGTGGCCTGATGAGCGGTGCCATGTCCGTGCCCAGGATCCGAACCAGCAAAACCCTGGGCCGCCGAAGCAGAACGTGCGAACTTAAGCACTCGGCCACGGGGCCGGTCCCCACGACACCAATTCTTTTGGTATTTCTTGAGATTTGTTTTGTGGCCTAGAACATGGTGAGTTTTAGTAATTCTTCAAAGTAAACTTGAGACAAATGTGTAGTCTCCAGTTTGGGGATGTCTGTTAAGCTTGTTCAATTTTTCCTATAGTCTTACTAGTTTCGTCTGCTTGAGCTACCAATTGCAGGGATAGGCAGTGTAATTTATTGTGGTGAATTTCCTAATTTATTAATTTTTCCTTTTACTGCTACTTTTTTCTTCTTCCTTTTTTTTTTTTGAGGCAGCTTAGCCCTGAGCTAGCATCTGCTGCCAATCCTCCTCTTTTTGCTGAGGGAGACTGGCCCTGAGCTAATATCCATGCCCATCTTCCTCTACTTTATATGTGGGAGGCCTGCCACAGCATGGCTTTTGCCAAGCAGTGCCATGTCCGCACCTGGGATCCGAACTGGCGAACCCCGGGACACTGAGAAGTGGAACGTGTGCACTTAACCGCTGCTCCACCGGGCTGGCCCTCTTTTCTTTTTTTTTTTTGAGGAAGATTAGCCTTGAGGTAACATCTGTTGCCAATCCTCTTTTTTTTTTTTTAACTTTTTATTAAGATTATGATAGTTTACAACCTTGTGAAATTTCAGTGGTACTTTATTGTTAGTCATGTTGTAGGTGCACCATTTCACCCTTTGTGCCCTCCCCCCACACCCCCTTTCCCCTGGTAACCACCAATCAGTTCTCTTTGTCTATATGTTTAACTTCCACCTATGAGTGGAGTCATACAGAGATTGTCTTTATCTTGTTTGTTTCACTTAACATAATACCCTCAATGTCCATCCATGTTGTTGTGAATGGGACGACTTTGTTCTTTTTTATGGCTGAGTAGTATTCCATTGTATATATATACCACATCTTCTTTATCCAATCATCAGTTGATGGGCACCAAGGTTGCTTCCACATCTTGGCTATTGTGAATAATGCTGCAATGGACATAGGGGTGCATGGGACTTTTGGGATTGCTGATTTCAAGTACTTTGGATAGATACCTGGTAGTGGGATGGCTGGGTCATATGGTATTTCTATTTTTAATTTTTTGAGAAATCTCCATACTGTTTTCCATAGTGGCTGCACCAGTTTGCACTCCCACCAGCAGTGTATGAGGGTTCCTTTTTCTCCACAACCTCTCCAACATTTGTCACTCTTGGTTTTGGATATTTTTGCCATTCTAACAGGTGTAAGGCGATACCTTAGGGTAGTTTTGATTTGCATTTCCCTGATGATTAGTGACGATGAGCATCTTTTCATTTGTCTATTGGCCATCTGTATATCTTCTTTGGAGAAATGTCTGTTCACGTCCCCTGCCCATTTTTTGATTGGGTTGTTTGATTTTTTGTTGTTGAGCTGTGTGAGTTCTTTATATATTATGGAAATTAACCCTTTGTCGGATAAATAACTTGTAAATATTTTTTCCTAGTTAGTGGGTTGTTTTTTTGTTTCAATCCTGTTTTCCCTTGCCTTCAAGAAGTTCTTTAGTCTGATGAAGTCCCATTTGTTTATTCTTTCTAATGTTTCCCTCGTCTGGGGAGTTATGGTGTCCGAAAAGATCCTTTTGATACTGATGTCAAAGAGTGCCAATCCTCCTCTTTTTGCTGAGGAAGACTGGCCCTGAGCTAACATCCGTGCCCATCTTCCTCTACTTTATATGTGAGACGCCTGCCACAGCATGGTTTGCCAAGTGGTGCCATGTCCACACCCGGGATGCTAACCGGTGAACCCTGGGCTGCCGGAGCAGAATGAGCACAGTTAACAGCTGTGCCACCGGGCTGGCCCCTACTTTTTTCTTTGATACACACTTGCTCTATCATTAGGCAGGTACACACACGTTCAGAAGGATTAACACTTCTGAAGGATCATTTCTCTAATCATCATTCAGTAATCTCTTTTATTCCAGATTTGTGGAATCATTTATAATGATTTGTGCCCTGAGGTCTACTGTGTCCAATATTAATTTCTCTCCACTAACTTCCTTTTGGACTGTATTCGCCTGGTATGTCTCTTTCCATCTAAATCAATTAGGGTTTAGTGGCAGACCACAGAACCATTCTAGCTATGTAAGTTTCAAAAAAAAAACAAAAACAAAGGATTTATTATCAGGTAGGGACAACGTACACAACCTTGGCAAGAGATGGAGGAACAACTCCTAGCCCTTCAAACTGGCCACCTTTCCTGGGGTCAGAAACAAATCCTAATCTCAAAATTCAGAGAAATTGCAGTCTACCTCCCACCCCCGATGAGACCAAGTACCTCCTCCCCAGACTGTGCACGCACTGTCTTCCACCACCACCTGCCTCTCTGCAGCCGATGCCCCCTCGGAGGACTGCCAGCCAACAACTCTCGTCTGAGCTGCACACTTCTAGTGCCAACTGCTTACTCATCATTTTCGCTGGGCTGCAGGCCTGGGCCCAGCAAGTGCTAACTGGGCAGCACCTCCTCCCAGACCTGTCCCTCCTCCAGTGAAGGGTGTCATCACCCACCCGGCCACCCAAGCCAGAACCCAGGGGTCACCTTGACTTTTCCCCTCCCCTCCCCACAGAGTCTAATTCAACACCCCCCCCCGCCCCCACCATGACTGTTGACTTTCTTCTAATCTCTCTCTAATCCATCCGGGATTTCAGGCCTCAGCACATCTTGCCTGGGCCGCTTCAACTAGTCTGCTCACTCTTCTATGTCTCCATCTAGCACTTATCTATTAATCATTTCTCCATCATCTCTCATCTCTCTATTATCTCTCTCTATTATCTATCAATCATCTATCATCTTTCTCTAGCTTTCTATCATCAACCAACCAATCAATGTATCTGTCATCTATTATCTATTTTTTGAAGTGAAATTCACATAACAGAAAATTAACCCTTTTAAAGTGCACAATTCAGTGGCATTTAGTATATTCACAATATTGTACAACCATCACTTCTAGAGTTTCAGAACATTTTCATCACTCCAAAAGGAAGCCTTGTATCCATTAACTGGTCACTCCCCATTTCCCCCTCCCCGGCCCCTGGCACCCACCAGTCTGCTTTCTGTGCCTGTGGATTTGCGGCTTATGGACACCCACAGAAATGGGATCATATGGTACATGGCCTTTTGTGTCTGGCTTCTTCCACTGAGCGTCAAGTTTTCACGGTTCATGCACGTGGTAGCATGGATCAGAATTTCATTCTCGGGGCCGGCCCCGTGGCCGAGTGGTTAAGTTCGCGCGCTCCGATGCGGCGGCTCAGTGTTTCGTTGGTTCGAATCCTGGGCGCGGACATGGTACCACTCATCAAGCCATGCTGAGGCGGCATCCCCCATGCCACAGCTAGAAGGACCCACAACTAAGAATATACAACTATGTACTGGGGGGTTTCTGGGAGAAAAAGGAAAGATTAAAAAAATCTTGAGGGGCTGGCCCCGTGGCCGAGTGGTTAAGTTCGCGTGCTCTGCTGCAGGCGGCTCAGTGTTTCATCAGTTCGAATCCTGGGCGTGGACATGGCACTGCTCATCGAACCATGCTGAGGCAGCGTCCCACATGCCACAACTAGAAGGAACCACAACTGAGAATATACAACTATGTACTGGGGGGCTTTGGGGAGAAAAAGGAAAAAAATAAAAATCTGAAAAAAAAAAAACTTGAAAAAAAAGAGTTTCATTCTTTTTATAGCTGAATACTATTCCATCATATGGGGAGAGCAGTTGGTCTGTCCATTCTTCCATTGGTGGACATTCGAGTTGTTTCCCCTCTTTGGTCATCATCAATAGCACTGCTACAAACATTCACATATGAGTTTTTGATTGAACACCTGTTTTCAGTTCTCTTGGGTCTAAATCTGGGAGTGGAAGTGCTGGGTCATATAGGAACTCTATGCTTAGCTTTCGAGGACCCGCCACACTGTTCTCCACAATGACGGCTCCATTTCCATTCCTACCAGCTGTGTACGAGGGCCAAGCAGTGTGCTCTTGCCTCCCTCCAAACAACCCTCCACACAGCCTGCTTTGAGCATAACTCCATATTGCTTCCATTCTGCTAAGAACTCTTCAGTGGCTTCTCGTTGGCTCTGGAATAAGTCCAGGCTCCTTAGTGCAACCCCAGCCCCTTCCCCTGCACTCAGCATTGACATCCTGCATCTTGCTCCTGATTCACCCCTGGGCCTTTGCACAAGCGTTCCTTTCTCCTAGAAGGTCTAGAACCACTTCCTCGCCACTGCTTCTTGCTGGGCCCGGGTCAGGACTCTTCCTCCTCCACGTCCCCCCACCAGCCCACCTTGCTGCTCACGGTTTTTCCCACAGTATCTGTCTCGAAGCTCCTCATGCATGGAGCAGGCATCAGTCCCCTCCTCCTCACCCCAGCACCGGGCTCAGGCTTGGTGTAGAGTCCTAGTTGGGCTCAGCAAATAATTCTGTGTGATGTTGTTGCTGAATCTACCTCCCGACCGCCATGTCAGCCGGAGAATGTGCTGAGCTGCATCTTCTGGTGGGGGACATCTTCCGGTGGGAGACATCTTCTGGTGGGGGTTGGTAGCTGAGATTATTCCTTCCCCTCCAGGCAACCTGCTGCCCCTCTCCATCTCTCCCAGAAGCCCCACCAGACAAAGAGGCCGGGAGGCAGGACCATACTTTCCACAGAGGTTTTTACTGAGCGACTGAGGGAGGCTCCCTGGCCCGAGGGCTGGGGGCCCGGAAAGGCACTGCGGCGGCGGTGGGGTCTCCCTCCCCTATGGGGGCTGGCTTTGCAGAGACAGCTCCCCCAGCTGACCCGTCTTTGGCACTGAGCTGGGAACACCGGTGCCCTCACGCCTGGCAGTGCCAGCATCCATCTCTCGCTTCGGTTGGCCTGCCCAACCCCCGTCCCCCGTGGCAGCTGGCAGTGTAGACTGGTGGGGCGACGGCCGGCTGGGGGCTGCTTGAGAGGCTGGGCCACCCGTGGAAGGACCGCAACCCGGGCTGCCTCCCCTGCTGGCGGGTGCTCATGTTGGGAATCCAGATGGCTACTAATAGGTATCCAATAAATTAGCTTGAAGAAGGAGAGAAGGCTGGGGACCGAGAGGGACAGGGACAACATTCTTATCATCGTTCGCTAGGAAACGCTGCACAAGTCTTTCTCCTGGCGGGCAGAAGGGGCGCAGATGATGGGCCCTGTCTGGCCGTGGGTCCCGTTTGGCTGTTTCTATGGCAGGAAGGGCGTCCCATGGGACGGAAGCCTCTGCGGGCCACTTGGGTGGTGGCAATACAGGGATGGACCATGAGGTCTCCAAGGGACGGAAGAGGAGGGGATAATGGGGGACTTGTCTTAGGAGGGAGATGCCGCACAAATGCGGAGGCTTGGCCCAGACTGGCTGGCAGTGTGAGCTGGGGCTCACCCCCTCCCCTTGCCCCCTCCCCAAAGAGAAGAAAGGACTCAGCCACCCTGCCCAGGTCACAGTCACAGTGGGGCAGGGAAAGGGGCAGGGGTGGGGCAGGCAGCAGGGGAGGACCCTCCATGTCTACTTGCCAGAAGGCGGGGACATGGAGGGGCACTCGGAGTTGCTGGCAGTCCTCTAGGCAGGGAAGGCCGGTGGCCAGGAGGCCTCGGAGGAGGGAAAGGCATGCTGGGTGTGGGGGTGAGTGGGCAGGCGCTGCTGTGTCCTTCATGTGATCCGAGGGCTTGGGGAGGGGCAAGGGCTGAGAGCCAAGCCGCGGCCCTCTGTCAGGTGGTGGCGCCCTGGAGGCCTTGGCCCAGGATCTGGCAGAGCTCCTGGAGGCGCCGCTGCATCTTGGGAATGCCTGCCAGCTGCTGCTCAAGCCGCTGCTTCTCCTCGGTCAGGCTCAGGCGGGCGGCTGAGTCCAGCTTCTCGAACTTCCAGCCGCCCTCCCCATCGAACTGTAGCAAGTGTGTGTGGTACTTCCTGGGCCAGGAGAGGGACAGGGATGGAGGTGCAGAGGCCGTTCAGCAGGAGACGCTCGCCGGGCAGCCCAGGGCCCTCCAATGGCAGCACCGCCCCCTCCCTGGTTGCAAAGCCATAGGAGTGTCGAATGCAAGTGGGAAGGGGGGCACCTACCATAGGGAGGGTCGGTGGGTGATGGAAAGCAGGGCAATGCCTGCATCCTTGGCTGCCTGGAAGATCTTGCCTTCCACGTCAATGCTCACAGCACTGGTACATTCATCCAGGAGGGCATACTTGGGCCTTGGGGGTGAGAGCCGAGTGGGTGAGGCTGTGGACCCTCCATTGCTGATGCCCTGGCCAGGCCCCAGCCCCCTGGTGGGAACCCTGATCCATGCACTGATCCTATCTCCTTGTGGCCCAATCCCTGCTGGGCCTGGAGCAGAGTGAGGCCTCCTAATGGTGCGGCCTCCCCCTGAAGGAGGCCCGGGGAGCAAGCACACTAAGCAGGCTCCTGGGTGGTCCCACGCAGCCCTCGGGGAGCGCCCAGGCTGCCCCTTTGTCTCTGCCACTGGCTCAGAGGGCTCCCAGGGCCTGCGGGAGCCTGACCACACAGGACAGCATGGCTCACCTGTGGTAGAACATGCGGGCCATGCCGATTCTCTGCTTCTCGCCCCCCGACAGAACGTCCTTCCAGTCACATGTGGCCTCCCAACCTGGGCAGGGGACAAGTGGGTTCTGTTCAATTCAACAAGGACTAGCAGCGTCTGCAGAGGGCCCAGCCCAGGCCCAGGCGCAGCGGGCATGATGTGCACTGTGGGCAGGCCTGGGGTCACTCAGGAGGGGCTGGGGAGCCCAGTGAGAGTGGCAGATGGCAGCACATTTGACCCCGGAGAAGGCTGTCTGCTGGGTGCGTGTGCTCTTGAGTACACTAATGTCTGCAGGTGCTACCTCAACAGTCAAGAAAGGGTCGGGACCAGAATTGTGCCCCTCCAAAAAAGGTATCTGGGTGTCCTACCCCCCAGGACCTCAGAATGTGACCTTATTTGGAGACAGGGTCTTCACAGAGGTGACGAAGTTGAAGTGCGGTGGTTAGGGTGGGCCCTAATCTAATCTGACAGATGTCCTTTAAAAAGGGGACATGTGGACACACAGACACACACAGAGGGGAGACGATGAGAAGACAGGGAGAAGACAGCCGTCTACAAGCCAAGGAGAGAGGCCTGGAACGCATCCTTCCCTCAGCCCTCAAAAGGAGCCAACCCTGCCCGCGCCTTGATCTCGGACTTCTGGCCTCCGGAACTGGCAGACGGTCCGTTTCTGTTGTTTGAGGCGCCCGGTCTGTGGTGCCTCGTCACAGCAGCCCCAGCAAACTCACACAGGACCTAACGGGATGCTGAGGCCCCAGCCAATGCTTCTGTCAGTGGGCAGCAGCTGGGCTCAGCAGAGCCCCAAGGACAACTGGAGTGGTCTCTCCAGAAGGCTTCTCACCCATAGGAGCCAGGCCTTTGTGTCACCACGTGGTGCCAGTGCCTCAGCAGGCTACTTGAACAAGCGGGTGATTCACCAGAAAGGCTCCGCGTGGGGCCGGCCCGGTGGTGCAGCAGTTAAGTGCGCACGTTCCGCTTTGGTGGCCCAGGGTTCGCTGGTTCGGATTGCAGGTGCGGACATGGCACCGCTTGGCACGCCATGCTGTGGTAGGCGTCCCACATATAAAGGAGAGGAAGATGGGCACGGATGTTAGCTCAGGGCCAGTCTTCCTCAGCAAAAAAGAGGATTGGCAGCAGATGTTAGCTCAGGGCTAATCTTCCTCAAAAAAAAGAAAGAAAGAAAGGCTCCTTGCCTCCTCCCTCCACTCTGCCTTCCCACAGGCCTAGAAGTTTTGGCAGGACACACGGACACCCACAAAAAAGACTACACTCCCTAGCTCACCTTGAGGTGAGGTGTGACCATATGACCGAACTCTGGCCAACGGGGTATAAGCGTAAGTGTTACACATGTGGCAGTTTCTGGAACTTTCTTTTCTTTTCTTTTCTTTTTGAGGAAGATTAGCCCTGAGCTAACATCTGCTGCCAATCCTCCTCTTTTTGCTGAAGAAGACTGGCCCTGAGCTAACATCCGTGCCCATCTTCCTCTACTTTATATGTGGGAGGCCTGCCACAGCATGGCTTTGCCAAGCGATGTGTAGGTCCACACCCAGGATCCTGAACCTGCAAACCCCGGGCCGCCCAAGCGGAGCGTGCAAACTTAACTGCTGCACCACTGGGCCGGCCCTGGAACTTTCTTTTAAAAGACAGGTGGCATGCACCATTTGCTCCTTCCCCCCACTTCCTCCATCCTATGTAATGTGATGGCCAGAGCAGCCATCTTGGACCATGAGGTGACTTTGGGAACAGAGGTCACACATAGAGCCACTCATGGGTCTTCACAGAGCAGGGCCACCCCCACCAACTGTGGTCTGCCTTCCTCGGGACTTTTATGTCACAGTAAGATAAACTTGTGAATGATTTGAGCCGCTGTTGGGGGGTTCTGTTACTCACAGCTGAACTCAATGCTAACAGGTTGTGAGGGTCAGCCTCAGGGGTGCCATGGATGACAGGAGGAAGGCAGCTGGAGCAAAAGAGGTCCAGCCAGGCCAGGGGGAAGCTGGGGTGACCATGGCACCCTGGAGTGACCATGGCAACCAGGGCGACAACACCTAGGGAGAATCCTCATGGCTCATTGGCCATCCCCGGCAAACTCGCTACGGGTCCTCACAGGAGTTTCTGGCTCAGCACTGTTGCAGGGAGGGACTGGTGTGCGCCCCCTTCTACAGGTGGAGACTCTCCAGAGGTGAGGGCTTCGCTCAAAGTTGAGCTGCCCCTAGGTGGTGGAGGCAGGAGGCTGAACCCTACTGCTCCGATTTCACTCAGAAAATGGAGCCCAGGCCCGTCCCGCCGGAGGTTCCCCCAGGCGGCTGGGTCGCCCTCTCCTCCTCCTCCCCTCTGGGCACAGTGGGCATTTGCAGACAGACCTGATAAGACCCTGACCAATGCCTCCTCTTGCTACTAGCTTGTCCCTCCCTCCCGTGCTCTCCCTCCCTGGCTCAAGCCAGGAAGCAGGATGGTGGGGGTTCCCCTCTGCCTCTGCTCCTGCCATCTCCCCTCCAGGCCCTCTGCACAGACACCCTGCACTCTCCTCCTCCCCGGCTCCCCATCCAGCCCTCCAAGCGCTCCCTGCCCGCCCACAGGGTCCTCCCTGCCACCAAGCCCCAGAGCCTGGAGAGGGTGTCCCAGGCCCCGAAGGTGAGGGCCCCTGCTGGATGCCCCCTGTTGGGCCTGGCCTCCCTTCCCTAGCACACTGAGGCCACCTGGGGCCGCCTGCTTACTGTCAGGTGGGGCTCTCCGGGGCATCTAGCTCTCTGGACTCCTGGACATCGGGGTGATCTTCATCTCTCAGGGGCCAAGAGGGAGGCAGGGGCAGGGGTGGCAGTGGGTTCCCTGGCTGAGTCCTGGGACCAAGGGCACTCAACTGGGGCTTGCTCCCTGTTGCTGAGAGGTGAGCTGCCCCTACCTCCTTCCCGCTGCAGGATGTGGTTCAGGTGCACGATGTCCAGAATGGCTTCCAGGTGCTGCTCTGAATAGCCCTTCCTTCGCATGTCCTCCACCGAGTCTGGGTAGATCACCTGGTCGCGCAAGGAGCCCACGGACATGTAGGGCCTGTGGGAAAGCTGCGTGTCCACCGAGGGAGGGGCCGGCCCTGCCGCCCTGCTGCTGCCCTGTGCCTGAGTGGGCTCAGTGTGGGTCCTGGCTGCCAGACTCCACAGACCCCTGCTACAAAGCCTTCCAGGCAGTGCTCGCCCCCCGTGCACTTGCACACCACATCCACACTCATGGACACACACTCATGCATACCACACTTGTACACATACACACTCACCCTGCACACATAGGCACACACACATACATCGCAGCACACTCACAAACATGCTCACATGTGCATAAACTCACATGTGTTCACACACCACATGCACACAGATACACTACCCACCCCGTGTGCACATACCCATCATGCACACACACCACACAGCCGTGAAGTCGCCAGGTGAGCAGGTGGGGTGGGGTGCCAGGTGGAGGTGCCATGGCCCCTCTGACTCTGGGGGCAGCATCTTGCTGTCCTCTCCCGAGGCCCCAAGCTCTACCATCTCCTGGGTGTCAGGCTCCACAGGCCAGGGCCAGAGCTGGGGGGACTAGCTCCCCGCCTCTCCCCGTCGGCTGGGCAGGCCCCTCCGGCGGCCCGGGCACTTACCTCTGAGGAATGTAGAACATGCGCTGTGGCGGGGGCTTGTAGAGCACGCCACCGTACGTGGGCCAGAGCCCCCCAAGGATCCGGAACAGAGAGCTCTTGCCGCAGCCGTTGGGCCCCGTGATGAGCAGGTGCATGCCCTCCTCCACCTGTGGGGGCAGCAGCCGTGGTACCCAGGGGGACGTGGGCCTCTCTCCTCTCACCTGTGGCTTCTGGATAGCCTTGGAGAGCCCCCTGCACCCAGTACACGCCAAGGCTGGCAGGCAGGCCATTCTCGATCTCTTGGGAAGGGATGGCAGGGCCCAGGGTGTGAGGTCCAGGGTCCAGAGCCCTATCTGAATGCCTGTTTTGGGCCCTGGCCTGTCCCCTAAGGCCCCCACATACACCAGAGAGCATGGGGCCAGCACGAGGAGGGCCTATTCTTCCCCAGAAAGTCAACGTCACCCTCCATCCTGTACGATCCCACTTCTCTGAGATCCTAGCATCTCAGCCTCCCCGGCAGAGCTGCTTTCTCTTCAGGAACTGCTCCAGGAAAGGCGCTTTCCTTCGAGTTCGAGGTGGACAGTACAAAGCCCCAGCTCCGCCTGCCCCCACGGCTCTCTCACAGTCCTGTGGATGCTAGGGGGCCTGGAGATGACACCATGGTCCCTGGGCTCAGTGTCAAGGGCCTCAGACTCCCCAATTAGCTGATTACATGATGCCCACTGGTCTTTTGAAAATGCCTGCTGTTAGAAAAAGGCCACCCTGAGCTGTGGGGGGAATGTGCAGGGAGGAGGGTGGTCAGAGGGCAGGGAGACTGCCACCTTGGGGGCAGGGGAGAGCACAGGGCATGGAGTCAGGGCACTTGGGGCACAGCTCCCACCCCCCACAATGTTAAGTGCCCCCTTTCTCAGTGTGACGTAACAGCAAGACTAATGGCCTACTGGCCTGTGCAATCCACAGAAGATCGACGAGCGCGGCCCATGTGAACGTCCGTCTCTGGCTCACCTCAGTCAGTGTTATGGATTGAACTGTGCCTCCTCAAATTCGTATGTTGAGTCCTAACCCACAGGACCTCAGAATGTGACCTTATTTGGAAATAGAGTCTTCGCAAACATAATTAATTAAATCGAGATGAGGTCACCCTGGAGTAGGGTGGGCCCCTAATCCAATGTGACTGGTGTCCTTATAAAAAGGGGACATTTGGACACAGAGACCTGCACATAGGGAGAATGCCATGTGAAGATGGAGGCAGATTGAGGTGAAGCCTCTGCTAGCCAAGGAATGCCAATCATGGCCAGCAACCCACCAGAAAGAAGCTGGGAGAAGTCTGGAACAGATTCTCCCTTACCACCCTCTGAAGATACCCTGATCTGGACTTCCAGCCTCCAGAACTGGGAGAGAATCCACTTCTGTTGTTTGAGCCCCTCAGGTGGGGCCCAGGCCTCCCTCCATCTAGATGTGTGAGGGCCGGTCCATCGGGCCCCGGGTCCTCTGAGCAAGCAGCCCTGGGAGAGCAGCCAAGGCCCCCAGCTGGCACCATGGCTGCCTCACTCATCATCTTCCCTGCATCTCTCCCACTGTCCTTCTCACCCCCACCGCCGGCTGACTGGCTGGGAACTGCTCCCCTTCCGCAACATCTCCCAGCCCCAGAGGGCAGCTCCACCACCAGCTCTGCCAGGCCAGAGCTCTTGCTCAGCCCCCGAGCCCTGCTCTTCCATCCCAGTCTCCCCCGCCTCACCTCCTCGCCTTGCTCCCTAGCCAGCTGTGCCCCTGCTCACCAGGGCCTCTGGGTTTTGCCTAGTTGGGCTTCTAGCAGGCCTGCCTGGAAACCAGTCACCTTGGGTAAACCAGCCATTGGCAGTTCCCCACACACACCAAGAGTGACCAGTGCCAGGGGTGATGGGGGTCACCCCACCACCCTGTGCTGTCCCTCTCAGCAGGCCCTTCCCCTCCGCTTGCCTCTTCCTGCTGACGACCTGCCTGCCGCTGACCCCCTTGGCCATGTGCGCACAGTCCCTGCGGGACCTGGCCCCGAGGGCCCCCAGCTCCACACTCCTGCCACTCCACTGCCTTTTCTTGACCTGCCCTCTGCAAGAGGACTTCTTTACTACACTGCCCACCTGCCTGGAGGCTCGTAGGTGACGCTTCATGTGACTTTCGCTCTCCCCAGCGACGATGACCACCCTCCTGTGGCCCCTGCTGGCCCCTGGGGAGCTGTCTAACTGGGGACCTTTGTAACACATTAGGGCCCCCCCAGGGTGGGGCTTCCTAGAGGGAAAGGCCCCTGATTTACCTCTGGTTTTCAGTGCTCACCCAAGAGCTCAGGGAATATTGGTTGAATGAATGAATGAAAGACTCTCACTTCTTCCCTTGCCCCCACCAATGAAGCGTCTCCTCTTCATTCCATCGCTCCCTGACTCTGTCCAAAGCCCTAGCTGGGGACACAGAAGACTGGTAGACATCCACCACCAGGGCTTCCTTTCCACAGACAGCCTGTGTAGTGGCTGAGAGCCCTCCCACTGGGCTAGGGTGCGCCCAGCACAGACACCTGCACTGGGGGCTTCTCAAAGCAGATGGGTGGGACACAAGCCTAGGCTGGGGGAAGGCTCTCTCTTCTGCCACAGTTGGACTTGAACCAGAGTTCCCAAGTCCTGGGCTTCTCTGGGACGGAGTGGGTTGAGAGGGCTGGCAACGATAGGCCCAGGAACCCTTGGGTGACCCTTGGCCAATCCTGCAATCACTAGTCTCTTTTATCAACTCTGACTCTATTGCCCCGGGACCACAGTCAGAGACACGTTGGTCTTTCACTTCCACCTTAGCCTGCCTGTCGTGTAGATCTAGGGACGATGGCTATTGACACACAGGTGGGCCAGCCAGGCCAGGTGCCAAGGGCTGGGGCTTGCAGATTCAGAAGGCCAGGCCCGGGTGCCAGGGCTCAGCCCAGCCCAGCCCAGTCTGCGCTTCTTGGTTGGGTGCTCCCCTCCCCGACTCGACCTACCCTGATGTTGAGGCTGGCCACCACCACCTCTCCTGCGGGTGTGATGATGGGGATGTTCTCACAAACAATTCCCTGCTCCACATCCACCACTCGGCCTAGAGAGAGAACACAAGGAAGGAAGAGTGGGAGGAGTAGTCCTCCCTCTGCTTTCTGGGAGGTTCCATGTGCCCTCTCACCCTCAACAGCATGCCAGTGTGTGGTCGATGGCCCCGCCAGTGTCTAGTGCTGTGCTCTGGGCGGGGGAGGAGCAAAACCATTTCTCTGGCCTCTGGAACCCAAGGCATGGGGTCCACTCCTGCTCTGCTGCCCTTCGCTCCTGGAACCATCTTAACGGCAGCTCCGACACGCAGGCCCCTCTTCCACAGCACCCTGGCCCCTACTCTGGTGTGGCTGAGTGATCCCCTCCACTCAGAGACCATGTCCCCCTCTTTTGCAAAGAGAAATCCTGGCCCGTGCACCCGAAAAGAACTGGGTGAGTGAGGACATTGGCCAGCAGTGACTGCTCTGGGAAGGGAGGCTGTAGGAGCCACAGCTCGCCCAGGAAGCCCGCCCCGGGGGCACAGCTCAAAGACCCTGCACTCTGGGTGGTGCTGGGAGGTGCCTGCGGTGGGAGGGCAGGGACCAGAGAGGCCTCTGCGGGGAGGGCACCCTTACCTCGGATCTGCAAGGGTCCCTCCACACGGACACCAGACTTTACCATGGCTCCGGGCCCTGCCTGAGTGTCCTCGGGCTCCCCAGGCCGCTTGAAACGGCAGTGCTGGACATCTTCGAATACCTGGAACATCTCATGTACCCGGGCTGTGTAGCCGGCCAGCTCTGTCACCTGCAGGGAGGGCGGCCCTGGCTCAGCTCCTGCCAGCCGAGGGTGGGACAGGTGGCATGGCAGGGGCGAGGGCTGGGCTGGGCGGGGGGAGTACCTCCTTGTAGGATGACATGATCCGCTCAATGGCATCAGCAGCAGCTGTGAGGAGGTTGCGGGCTATGGTGAAAGCTTCTGTGCGCTCGCTCACCAGTTCCTCCTCCCTCATCTCTGAGGCTGCCTTCTTCAAGGCCTCTGAGTCTGCAGAGCACAGTGGAGGGGAGGGGCGGGGACACTGGAAAATCAATACTGACCCACTGGGGCAAAGATGAGTCTCTCTAGCAAGTGATACTGGGACACTGGGTATCCACACACAAAAGAACGACCCCTCTCTCAGCCCCCCACAGCTACTCAAAGTGGAGCACCAGCCCGCAGGGCAGAGCAAGGACTATAAATCTCCTAGAAGGAAGTGGGAGTAAAGCTTTGTGACCTGGGATTAGGTAGGGCTCCTTAAATATGACACCAAAAGCACAAGCAACAAAAGCAAAACAGGTAAATGAGCTTTAACAAAATTTAAAACTTTTGGGCACCAAAAGAAACCATCAAGAAAGTGAAAAGACAACCTACGGGCTGGGAGAAAATACCTGCCACTCATAGATCTGAGAAGGGTCTAGTATCCAGAACATAGAAAGAACCTTTTCTTTTCTTTTCTTTTTTTGAGGAAGATTAGCCCTGAGCTAACATCTGCTGCCAATCTTCCTCTTTTTGCTGAGGAAGACTGGCCCTGAGCTAACATCTGTGCCCATCTTCCTCTACTTTATATGTGGGATGCCTGCCACAGCATGGCTCGCCAAGCGGTGCCATGCCTGCACCCGGGATCCGAACTGGCAAACCCTGGGCTGCCGAAGCAGAATGTGCGAACTTAACCGCTGCACCACTGGGCCAGCCCCAGAAAGAACCTTTTCAATTCAGCAACAGAGAGACAAACGACCCAAGTAAACAATGGGCAAAGGATCTGAATAGACATTTCTATTGTATATACTATCACGTATACGTCCAGGAGAAACAAAAATATATGTCCAGGCAAAGACCTGAACAAAATGATCACAGCAGCATTCTTCATAATAGCCCAAAGGTGGAAACAGCCCAGCTGTCCATCAGCATGTGACTGGATAAACGAAGTGTGGTGTATCCATCCGATGGAAGGTTATTCTGCCATAAAAAGGGGTGAAGTTCTGCCACATGCTACACCATGGATGGACCTTGGAAACATGCTGAGAGAAAGGAGCCAGACACAAAAGGCCGTAGATGGCATGATTCCATTCCTATGAAAGGTCCAGAAGACGCAAATCCGTGGAAACAGAAAAGAGATGAGGGGCTGCCAGGGGCTGGGGGGTGGGGATCTGGGGGAGAGACTGCTAATGGGTTGAGGGTTTCTTTTTGGGGTGATGACAATGATCTGGACTTAGAGGTGATGGTTGCACAACTCTGTGAATACATTAAAAACCACTGAATCGTACACTTTAAAAGGCTAAATTACATCTCAACCATGTGGATAAAAACCGAACCCCGAGGCATTTGGCTTTCTTTCTTGGTACCACCAGCCCTTCCCCCAGACTGCCCCGGCCCTGTGTCCTGTACCACTGATGGCAGCCCCTCTCGGAGCCATGCCTGCACTGGCGTCCAACACCTGGAGCTATTGCAGCCCCGAGCCTCTTGAACATGAATATTTCCCTTTGGACCTCCACTGCTGCCTCCTTTTTCCCCTCTCTCTCCCCTCAGTGCTGTATCCTGTGGCCTCCCTGAGAACGGCTGGCCATCTTCGACGCCCTCATCTCTCCCCGGGGGTCTGCTCCTGTCTTGATTTGTTTTTCTCTCTCAGTCGAGGCTTCAGAGTTGCTCACTTTGACCCTCTCTTGTCAATGGCCTTGATTCCCTTGACCCTTGGATTCCCCAAAGGGGCAGGGCTTTTAAACAAGGAATGTTCTGGCAATGGTGATGGGGGGTAAGGGGGAGGCCAACTCTGAGGGTCCTGGGGTGTGGGTGAGTGAGTGGTGCCCATTGTAGGTATCCATGGGAAGCCGGGGCTCCCGTGGCCGAAGTGGTGGGAAGGAAGGTTCTGTGAAGACCCCAAAGACTCGATCCAGGGATATACATCTATCTGAGGTGGGAGCTCCAGGGATACAATGGCAGGGGAGGGGTGGGAGCGGGTGGGAAGTCAGCTCAGGGCAGATGGCTTCCAAAGCTGCGTGAATGCTGTGCAGGCTGGAAAGGGAACGGGGCCTTCCTTCCCACCGTGACCTCAGGGACACAGCCCCCTAGAAGGCAAGGGGGACACAAGCCCGCCTCTCTGGATGTGCTGAGACCTGGACAGACACAAAGGGAAAGAGTCTGCAGGTGCTCAGGGCATCCTGGTAACAGCTGGCACCTCCCCAGGGACAGAACTAACTGCCCTCTGCAGCCTGCCTTGGAGTCTCAGCAGCTACGACCAGGGCCCCTGGCAGCTGTTCCCACCCAGGCCGCCCTTCTCCTGGCCCTCCAGCTGCGCAGTGCCAGCAGGCCGGCAGCATAAAGGTAGCTCCATCTTGCCCAGTTGATGAGTGCCTGCCTCCTCCCACCAGTCCCCAGTGCTCTCAGCCTCCCTGAAGCACCTGGAGCCCTCACTAGCTGTCGGGGACTAGGGACACAGCAGGGACAAAACAGACAAAAGTCCCCACCGTCATTGAGCTCACAGTCCGAAGTGGCAGAGAGATGACAAACCAGATAGATATGTGGAAAAGATAGGGTGTTCAGTGCTTGGGAGCGCAGAGAGGTGGGGGAGGGGAAGAGAAAGGCAGGGCGTGATCAGGGCAGGCCTCATCTAGAAGGGGCCTGGGAGCCAAGCTCTGACAGAGGGAGGGAGGGGGCCACCGGACGTCAGTGGAAAGAGCATTCCTGGCAGAGCCAGCAGCATGTGCAAAGGCCCTGAGGCAGAAGCATTGGGGGAATAAAAGGGGGGCCAGTAAGACAAAAGTGGAGCGAGCAAGAGGGCTGGGATGAAAATGTTTCACATTTTCTCAAGTAACTGACTCTAAGGGCCATGAGGCTGGAGACAGGGGCTCATGCTTCTCTGAATCACCCATGAAGCCCGGCACAGCAGAGGCTCTAAAAAGTCCCAGGCCTTCAGAGGAGGAAGAGGCCTCAGAGACTAGACAGGTCAGCAATGCCCAGTGCTAGCCAGAGAGGGAAGCAGCTGCAGGGGCTTCCTCACTGAAATCACAGGTTGATTTCCTCATGGGTCCCTCCCCAGGCTCTGGGCCAGGTGTGCTGACTGGGTCCTAAATTGAATTAAGGCCACTGTTTGTGTTGGCCCATTGGTGGAAAGTAACTACCCCCCTGCCATGGGATCTTTCGTCTTGGGGGTCTTCCATAGAGGGACAGATAGCTGAGGGTATGGAAGTCCCAAGGTAGAGAAGCCAACAGGGAAAGAATCAAAGAGACTTCTGGTTCTGAAGTCAGGCTCTCTTTCCTTATGTATAACTGAAAACCCTCTTACTACCAAGCCGCATAAACTATAACACCTTTTAAAGCAGAACTGGGCTCCAAGGAAAGCAAGGGAAATTCCCAGGAGCAAAAAGAGCAGCCAGCAGCCAGGGACTCCTGTGAAATCACCAGAGATGGAGGAGACAGGGCAGCTTCTTTCATGTCGCTGGGGCCCTAGGTGAGGGGAACAAAAGTCTCCTCTAAGAATCTGCAATTACGTGTCTGGGGTTCAAAGGAATAGTCCCTCCAAGTTCAGGAACCCTCCTCCCTGAGCTGAGAAGTTAACATGCAAATTGCCTCCAACTGGTTGATTACCAGGAGTGCTTGACCAAAACAGAAGCCAAGATGCCGGGGAGGTCAGGCCCAGGGGCTCCCAGGGAAGTCTGGCTGCAAAACCCACAAGGACCCTAAGTGTAGAGCAGCAGAGAGAAGATAAAGCTGGCTTAGACTCCCAAGAATTCAGCTAACTGAAGAGTTGGATAGAGACCACCGAATAAGTACGATTAATATGATACACAGCATAAAAGGGGCAGTCAAAAAGAGGAGAAAAGCAGACACAGACACAAGCAGTTTGAAATTTCTATTTGAAAAAGAAAATTTCTCTTTTCAAATTTCTATTTAAAAGAGAATCAGGGGCCGGCCGAGTGGCACAGCGGTTAAGCGCGCACGTTCCGCTTCAGCGGCCCGGGGTTTGACAGCTCAGATCCTCGGTGCGGACATGGCACCGCTTGGCAAGCCATGCTGTGACAGGCGTCCCAAATATAAAGGAGAGGAAGATGGGCACGGATGTTAGCTCAGGGCCAGTCTTCCTCAGCAAAAAGAGGAGGATTGGCAACAGATGTTAGCTCAGGGCTAATCTTCCCCCCCCAAAAAAGAGAATCAAATAGAATTTTATAGAAATAATCACTGAAATTAAAAAAAAATCAAATTAGATGTAGCCAAAGAGAAAACTGGTGAATGAGCAAGCAAGACGATCTGAGGAAACCTCCCAGAATTCAGCAGTGATAGTGCTAGATGGGGACCAGCAAAGAGAGATGAAGAGCCGCAAAGGAGAGAGTGAGAAGTCAGCGCGTGTCCAGCAGGAGTTCTAGGAGGAAAGAGTAAAAGAGCAAGAGCGAGGCGATATTTGAAAAGATAACAGCTGAGAATTTTCCAGAGCGATTGAAAAATCTGAATATTCAAAGGATATACAAGTCCGAAGGAGGATAAACAGAAAGCCACAGGTAAACACTTCTGAGCGAAACTGCAGAATGCCAAAGAGAAAAGTCTAAAAGTAACGAGAGAGACAATGCAGGCTGTCCAGGGCACCCAAAGTTGATAACAGACTTTCCAACAGAGACAATGGAATATTGTCAACGGGCCAAGAGAAAATAACTATCCGCCTCGACTCCCACACCCAACTAAACTTTAGTTTGGGAAAAAGGGTAAAATAAGACATTTCAGACAACAAAATAATTGCGAAGTTCCCATTCTCTTGCAGAAAGAACTTCTAAAAGATGTCTATTGGGAAGAAGGTACCTGGGCTTCGGGAAAGGACTGGTGAGCAAAGGAATCAGTAAACACGGGGGTGAATGGAGATGCGTGTCGACCCAATAAAGCCAGAGCCGAGGATCGAACAACAGGAAAGCCAGCTGGATGCCGGGCTCCGCTGGCGTGTCAGCCAGGCCAGTCCTGAGTTAAAGCGGTCTAACGGCCTGGCGGAGGAGGAGCTATTGACCAACCCAGACTCCTCAGGTCTGCACGTGAACCTTTCAAAGGGCAGCCTCGAAAAGACTAAGAATAGAATGAATACGTCGCAAATGAGTAAAGGAACAAAATGGGAATCCTGATGACCCAAGTGCTAAAGCCAGGGGCAGAACAGGCTTTCCAGTCTCCGTGTCATCCGCCGACCCCCAGCCTTAGGGTGGAGGTCTCTACCCTCTGCAACGTCCCAGAGCTGTTCAGGCATGGGAAAGCCAAGGCCTGAGCGATGAAGGGGCTTGCTTGAGGTACTTCCCCATCCTCCCACCTCCAAGTTACAGTTGGGCTGAGGACAAGGACAGGTGGGCAATGGTACATGCACCTGGTGAAGGGACATAGAGTGTTCCTGAGTTGCAGTCCCCGGGCTCAGCTGAGTGGTACCAAGGAGCGTGAGACGCTGTAAAGGGGAGATGCACGCAGGCGGAAGGCAACAAGGAGCTGCGGGAGAGTGTGACCCCTGGTGATCTCAAGGATGCCAGCCGGGATTCATGGCCTCAGCAGCAGAAGGGGCAGGCAGGAGGGATGAGTGCTGGGCCCTCCCAAGCCTAGCACCCAGTGGTCCAGGAGCACAGGGCCGCTGCCCCACCCCCTGGGAGCCCTGGCGCTCACCTGCCTCTGAGTAGCCGGTGGCGGTGATTATGGGGACGGCCACCATAAGCAGGCCTGAGGCGCTCCACACATACTTCATGAGGAACTGCTCCAGCATGACATACCACAGGCGTTCTAGAAGGATGAGGTTGATCTGCGAAGCCAGGTCCTGGTAGGAGTGCTGCAGTAGGGCCAGCTCCACCTGCAGGGGAAGGGAGGACAGAGAGAGACTGAGAGCCCTCGTGGTAACTACCGTCAGGGTGACAGCAAGAGGCCCCAAGTGCCGTGCAGACACGCTATGCCATTTGATGGCCATGACAAGGTTGAGAGCTGGGGTTATGACTGGACTGCGTTTACAGGGGACAGGTCTTAAATTCGGGGGGCGGGTACGGGATTGCCTGACATCCCAGCACTAGGGTACAACGGTGGTGAAGAAGGGACTTAACTCCCCCTTCTGAGGCCCACTCCGTCCCCATTTCCACTACCTCTCTCCTTGGGACACTCTCCATGCCCCTCTTTGCCCTGGACAGCTTCTGCACTTGGGCTGAGGGTAGCCACCTTGCCCTTTTCTTTGGGCAACTGCCGGGGGCTCCCTGAACTGAGCAAGGGGCAGCACAGAAAAGCAAAGGCAGAACTCAGTTTTGAAGAATGTGATTCACCAGTCTCTATCTACTTAGGCCCCGCCTCCCCCTACTTCCCCACCCTTCTTCCGGGTGAGAAACTTGCACTGCATTCATTCTCCCACTGGAACCTGGAGGGCCCGCTCCAAGCCAGTCCCTGCAGGCCTTGCCCCCTAATGGGCAGCCCCATGCCCAGCCTGGCTCTTGTCGTCACCTTGGGCCAGCTGAAGACTCCAGCCCACTGGCTCAGCAGTGGGGTGGGCCTCCTCTGCCCTCCCCTCTCCCTTCCTGCATGGGCCTCCATCCACCATCTCAGGATGGGGACAGGTAGGAAAAGGGCCCTGTGCAGGGCCTGGAAAAGAGAGAGTAGGAAAGGGAGTGGGAGAAAAAGAGGCTCCCCGTGGTAGCACGGGGGCTGGAGGTGTCAGGAAGTGGGCACAACAAGGTGGTGATTGGGTCATGGATGTCTTGGCTCAGTGCAGGGGTGCACATGCCAGCCCTGCCTTCCCAGCCCCGCCTGACAGCAGCTGCCCAGCCTGGCCCCGATTCCTCTGCCAAGTACTTCCACACCATTTGATCCTCACCACGTCCCGTTGCACGTGTACTCTCGTGTCCGTTGTACAGGAGGCCTCTGAAGCCCAGAGAGGCAAAGTGACCTGCCCAAGCTCACACAGCCTGGAGGTAGCAAGAGGTTTGGAATTTGGACCACACTGGCAGGGCCACTAGGAGAATCAGATTCCTGTAAATGATGCTTTGACTTATTAAGAAAGGTTTACGGTCTCCTCAAGGCAACAAGAGGTTGTGTGTGTGTGAGTCTAAATAAGCCTCCTTGTTGAAATCCCAGTAATAACAGGATACCCTGCAGTCTGCCCTCCAGCTAGCCAGTCACCTCTGCCCCTACCTGTTAATCTGAGCCTGGGCCACTGTCCATCGGGACATCAGCTAGTGGGACTGGAGTGAGCCACCTGTCTGCATAGTAAGAGTAACCCATGGGGGCCTGTCACTCCACACAGCTTTCCAGCTCTTTGGTTCAGGCCTAAACAGACAGGCCGTGGACACACACCGGGGCCCTCCCTCCTGGGCCAGGGAATCCTACTGGTGAACGTGCTATTTCCTGAAGCTAGCCCGGAGGAAGTCCTCCAAAGGGCCAGTGATCTCTCTTCTGTCCCCACCATCCAGGGCCACATAGCTTGGCTTTGCCTCAAGCCCAGGCTCCCGTTCCTGAGGTGAACCCTCCTCCTCAGAGCACCCTGGCAACCCAGGCTCGTGCTGGGAGCTGGCAGGAGTGCCAGCCAGGGCTGACAATGTAGCTGCGGGTAATGTGCCAAGCGCCTCACCCAAGGCCATGGCGGCCTGCCAAGTCCCTGCAGCCCAGCGTGCGGGAGAGGAGGAGATTAGAGAGGGTTGCAGCTGCAGACCAGGCGCTTTCTCTCCTAATCTGGAGCCCGGCCCACGCCCAGGATGGGCCCTCTCCGCGGAGTTCAGGAACAAGCCTTTTTTAAAAATCAGGGACAAGTCTGCCTCTCCACCCAATGCTCAGCCAATGAGACAAGTTCTGGGCGCAAGAGGCCACCTGACTCAGGGAGGACATACAGGCCTTCAGGAGATGGGTGCCATTGGGCCCCTCCCCCGTGAAGCACTCAGAACTGAAACCAGAGTCTCAGAGAGCAGGGCCTGAGGCAGCTGCAACCCCAAGCACGAGGAAGAGGAGGGGCCAAGGCAAGATAAAGAGAGCACTGGCCTGGAGTAACCTTTCCCAGCACCAGGCTCTCGGCAGGGGGCCCCCAGCCAGGCCCTGGCCTGACCTGCCGGGGAGCTAGGCGCCTGGGACCCGGGCGGAAGGGCGGCCACGCTGGGCGGGCAGGAAGTGCATCCCGCCGCAGTGGCAGCCTGGGCCCGGCATCCCTGGCCCGGGACCTCGGGGAGGAGGTTGAGCCAGCAGCCAGGCCAGCCCGTGGGCTCAGGCGTGGGAGGGCTTGACCTGGAGCGCCGAGCGAGTGCCGCGCGAGCGCCGCCACCGCTGTAGCTGTGGCGCTAGGCGCTGCTCGTTAACCTCCGCTTGGGCTGAGTCATGCCCATAATACCCGCCTGCCTGGCCGGCCAACTCAGCCGGACGCTGGCCTTCAAAGGGCCCAGAGGCCCAGGAGAGGCCAGGCAGCAGGCCGCGTCCCACCGTCCCTGCTTCCTGATGGTAGGAGCCTCCTGGCCGGCTGCAAGAGTGGGGTGAGCCAGGAGCTCTAGCAGCTCAAACTGCTAGGATCCGCAGCTCCAAGGCCAGGACAACCTTACCGAGGAGGAGAGGAAGCAGAAGTGGCCTGGAGCATGCAGCCAGCCGGCCCACAGCAGTCCCCACCCAGCCTTCCTGCTTCTCCATTTCTGTGCCTAAGTCTAGGCTGCGCAATGCCCTGGCTGTCCCTAGCCTCCCTTTCTCGTGGCCTGCCCACACCTCTGGCATCAGTCTTAACCAGCCCTGGGCTGTCCCCACCATCCATGGCTGCCTGTTCCCAGGCCTCCCAGCCACAGGCTTTCCTCTGTGCTCAGGACCTCAACCTGCCCCACCTCGTGGCCCCCATAGAAGGCGATCTCCTCTGAGTTGGCCACCACTCGAGAGTGCATGTAGCGTAGCTCCCCTTTCCGCCGTGCCTCCTCTGCCACCAGCTCCCCAAACTTGGGTGAGAAGGCTCGCAGCACGTTGGCTGTGAGGAAGACCACGAGGCCAGCAATGGCCGAGGGCCAGGCTGTGCCGGCCCCGCGGGAGCGGGCTGCTCGAAGCAGGGTGTAGGCGGTCACGGCCACATCCAGGAGCGGCTTGGTCAGGTTGGAGTAGAGGTGGGCCACAGAGGCAGCAAAGGCCACGACATCCTCTGTCAGGGACTGGTCAGGGTTGCGAAGCCGCCCGTCCATGTTGCTGACTCGGTAGTAGGTCTGCTGGGAGAAGTAGAGGCTGTAGGCGTGGGCCACTAGACGGCTGCGAAAAGACAGGGCCAGCTGACCCTCCAGGTAGCGGATGGCACTGTTGATGAAGGTGGCAGGGAGGGCGATGAGAAGCCACTGTAAGAGCTGCCAGCCAAAGGCCTGTGGGTCCTTGCGCACGATGCAGCGGGCCAGCCGGCCGTCCAGGCGGGCCACATATACTGACAAGAAAGTCCGGCTCACCAGGGTGGCTGAGTGCAGTGCCAGTAGCCCCGTCTCCCGGCAGAGGATCTTGGGGAAGAGTAGCCGCAGGAGCCACAAGAGTCGCTGCAAGAACACCCGGTTCACACCGGCCTTGGCTGCGACGGCTGCTGTGGCGCCGGACACCTCCTGTGTGGACTCCCCTGCTGGCACCTGGGGGCCCCTGGCTGGAGCCAGGCACTGCCGCACCAGGGGGTAGATTTTGTGGGCTCCATAGGCCGTGAGGGCCAGGACCACAGCTGTGCGCTTCAGCGTGGTCACCCGCGAGGGCTGGGGGGTGGAGAGCACCGGCATATCACCTGGGCTGGACGCACGGGGTTGGGACTGGTGCCTGAGGCAGCAGTCCAGGCAGGTGGCTGGAAAGGTTGTTGCTCTGACCCTGGGTTCGTTGTCTAGGCAACTGGAAACCTTGCAGTGGTCCCTGAGACTGTCGCTTTAGGCCACTGGGGCGGTGCTGGGGCCCCTGGTGCCGTGGGCTCAGGGCCCTCCAGGGTCGTGGGCTCTTCAGGCAGCCGAGGTGAAGGAACTTGTCAGTCCCCTAGCCTCTGGGGTCAGAGCCTCGAGAGGTCTCAGGCAGGGAGGACGTCTCTTCCTCTCCACCTCCACCTCCTCGCCCTCTTCTTACCCTGGTGGCGCCCCTCCCCGGGGCACCAGGCACGTCCGTCCGCTCCGCCGCCTGGCTGAAACGACAGTGACTCCGCCACTCCCCCAGAATCTCCACCCACCCCCCGCCCCTCGCCAGGGGCTAGTCGGGGGAAGGGGAGGAGGCGGAGGAGGGGCAGGAGGCGGAGGAGGGGCGGGAGGCGGGGCCCGGGCGCGGGGTGCTCCACCCCGTTCTCGTCCCACGGTTGGGCCCCGCCCCCTCCCAGGACCACAGAGACGTGGGCCGACCATGCGGGCTAGAGAAGCGGCCCTTCGTCTTCTCGCCAAGGCCCCGCCCAGCCTCCCCGCGCGCCTGAGGCGCCGCCGCCCGGCCGCGAAGCGCCGCTTCTTTCCCAGTCCTGGGCGTCGGAGCCTCGGCTCGGGGGCGGGGCGGAAAGCGGCCGTGGGCGGAGTCGCTGGGGACTCGCCACGGTTGGGGGCGGGGCGAGAGCCTGCGGGCGCTTCCGGTTTCCGGCCGCGGAGGAAGGGGCGGGGCCCGGGCTGTGGTGGGAGAGTTTGGCGGAGGCGGTAGCGTGTGAGCGGTGCCTGTGGGAAGCTTGGTGAGCGGGCCGCGCGCCCAGCCGGGCTCCGGCCGCTCGACGAGGGGAAGCGCGAGAGGCCGGGGGCGCGGGACCGAGGGTCGAGCCGGTAGTGCGGGGGCCGGGCCCGGCGGAGGGAAGTTGGGGTGGCGGCGGGTGGAGTCGGGCTCCGGGGGCGCAGGAGCCGGCCGCGGGGGCGGGGCGGGGGCGAGGCTCCCGCGCGGGAGCCTCCGAGGTGGGGTTGGGGCAGGGCGCGCCGAGCTAGAGCCACGTCGGGGAGCTCTCGAGCCGCGTGGGCGCTGCGGCTGACCGGGACTGCCGGGAGGGGCTCCTCCGGCTTCTGAGGAGACAGCTGCTTCTGGAAGTTTCTCTGGATGGGGCCGTGAGGTGCTTAGTCGAGGCCTACGTTTGCTCTTGGCGCAGACTCCCGCCCTCTAGGCGGCGCTCTTGTGGGCCCGCTGAGGTACCCCGAGGCCCCCGGCCCTGGGGAACCACGGCCTTTGTCTCGGCCCCGTTGGCGACGTTGGGAGCGAGTGCGGTCCTGCAGCGCGGCCGCCCGGGGCCCAGGAGCCCCGCCGCAGAGCTCGGCCTGGCCGGGGAGCGCGGGAGGGGCCTGCCGGCTGCCGAGAGTTGCCGCCCTGTGTAGTGGTCGTTGAGAACGCTTGCCTGGTTCCACAGGCACGAGCAGTCTCCCCGACTCCCCGGGGAAGGGAATTGTCCAGAAGGGTGGCTCTGGATGGGTCTAGGCGCGTGCTGGGAGGCGGCCGCTCGCTCCGCGCGTCCGGGCCTCGGCGCTGCTGGTGAAGCAGCCCCGCTGGGCGCAGCCCGTGCCTTGGAGAGCCCGGCGCAGCCTGCCGGGGCCCAGGGCGGCCGGCGGCCCAGCTGTCACAGCTTCTCCAGCCGTCACAGCTCCTCCTGTCCTTCTGTGCCCTGTCAGGAAAGAAGCTCGCGTCTCCCTGTTGGAAAGCTGCTAGCAGCAGGATGAGTCTGCAGTGGACTGCAGTTGCCACCTTCCTCTATGCAGAGGTCTTTGCTGTGCTGCTTCTCTGCATTCCCTTCATTTCTCCCAAAAGGTATGGCCTGTGGAGCAAACAGGCAAGCGAGTTGAGAGGGTGACTGTTGTGGAGCCCCATGGCTTCTGCGTGCAAAGTTGCTCGACCCTGCAACTGGGGCCGGCTGGAAACAGGTAGAACTTGTCTGAGGTGGGGGTGGCAGGGGTTAGGTTGGTTATCACCAAGCTTCTACACAGTTCGGCTTTGTGACACCTGGCCGAGTTCCTTTCCTGAGCATCCTGCCTTCTGGGTGCCGGGAAGAGGAGAAGACTTGTCTCTAGTTATGGTCCTGGGAACGATGCCCTCTTGCCGCCCCTTGGGTCCCTAGGGTTCGGGGGATGGCATTGTGGGCTCCAGAAGACTTTCACCACAGGGTCACGTTGTTGCTGATTTGGTGACTTCTGTCCTCCTAACTAGTCTCACTGGCATTGCGTAGTAGCCTCATGAGCATTACTCAGCCCTTGAAGGATGAAGCCATGTTCCCTTTCAGTGAACAAAAGACCCGTTAAAAGTTAGCTGGAAAATTTTAATTGCAGTTAACATGATGAACACATTATTCTGACTTAGGTTAGAACATTACAAATAAGCCTTTCTGCACAAGATATTTTTAAAAGCTGTTTTTTAATAAAAAGTACAGATTCCTGATGTGATACAATAGGAATTGTATAGCACTGCTTAGGGAATATTCTTGCCAAAAGCCGCATCTGAATCTGTTCACACCTCATACAGTTCAGAGGAAATGCAGAGACAGAGGCCCCCTCACTGCTGCAATCTGGAAAGCTTTGTAGGACAAACAACCTGGTTTCTGCAAAAAGTAAATTGGGGAAGAAAACAAAAGAGGACGGGAGGGAGGGGCTTACAGAATCAGAGAGATTTAAGACACTTATCACCCTATCACTTCCTGTTCAAGCAAACTATTAAAAACGGTTGCAACAATTGGGCTGTGGGATTCTGGCTCTGAGAATGAGGGATTCTCATTGAAGTTCTCGAGGTCTGGTGATGGCATTGTGGTGTCGTTAATCGTTATGAAGGCTCTTTTCTGGTAGAGCTACTTCGTGAAGTATTTATGGAGGGAGATGAAGGGAGGTCTGGGGTCGGCTTCATAATAATCCAGGGTGGTAGAAATCTGCATGCACCAAGATTGGTCACATGGAAAAGCAATTTAAAGCAATAATGTGTATGTGACAAACATTTTGAATACTCCATAGGGGAATGCAGTGGAAAATAAATTTCCTGTTTCTGTCTCCAAAGACTACTTGTGTTTAAGACTGATTTTCTACCCTGTGAATGTCAGGAATATGGGAAAGCCTTTATTTCTTGAAGAAACTTTCAAGGACGTGAGAATGCACATAAGAGAAAAAACATAGAAATGTGAAGAATGTGGGAAAACCTTCTGTCATCCCAAGTCCTTACAAACATGCGAAAGGACTCACTTGATAAAAACCTCTTGAATGGAAACAGCACGGGGAATATTTCAATTGGCCCACATCCTTATTGTGGGAAAACTCCCACTAGAAGGAAATTTAAGAAACGTGGAAGATTGACGGAAGTTAATTCATGTATAGTGTTCTAGAAAATTTTCAACATAAAAGAGTTGCTATAAAAGTTGTAGATATATTGTGTTTACTAAGCCTTTTTCTTAAAATGCAACATTGGACTGTGGATTTCTACTAATTACTTTGAGAAATGAAGTGAGAATTCTATGAGTCATCTTTCAAAAATAGTATGTGAGATTAGTGGGAAGTGCTTTTTCCTTAAATTGGTTAATGTTTTTTCTTTCCATTTTGCAGCCTGTTGGATCCATGGGTGAATAGAAGTGTATTTTTTTTTTTGAGGAAGATTAGCCTTGAGCTAACTACTGCCAATCCTCCTTTTTTTTCTGAGGGAGGCTGGCCCTGAGCTAACATCCGTGCCCATCTTCCTCTACTTTATATGTGGGACGCCTACCACAGCATGGTGTGCCATGGGGTGCCATGTCCGCACCCGGGATCCGAACCGGCGAACCCTGGGCTGCTGAGAAGCAGAACGTGCGCACTTAACCGCTGTGCCACCAGGCCTGCCCCCTAAAGTGTATTTCTAATATGCAATTAGGTTTAACTTTTTTATAATGTTTTATTCTGTGTTAAGGGGCCATTGAAAATTGATACTTTGGTTTTTGTTGGGATTTTCCTACTGGCCTTTTGTAGCTGTTCCTAGATATCCCTAATCCATTATATATATTGTAACTTTCTTACTGAGAAAGCTTTTTTGAGATTGTGGGTATAGGAGCCCTTTTCTATTTTCCATACTATTAAATGTTGAGACTAAATTTGTATATATGACAACTTAAAAAAAAAGAGACTGATTTTCTAGAAATTTATATACATGAGTGCAAGCATCTTTTTTTTTCTTTTAACACTCTTGAACGAATGTCGTAAATTGGAGAATTGCAAGCAGCTGAGGCTGAGCTTGTATGGGATATTTGCCATTGGAGAAGATGCAAAACTGGATTTCTGTCCTCAGGGCCCTGGATCCCAAGTGTGTATTGTCTCTCTTCAGCTCCTATCCTTTTTGTCGTCTTTGCAGATGGCAGAAGATTTTCAAGTCCCGCCTGGTGGAGTTGGTAGTGACTTACGGTAACACCTTCTTTGTGGTTCTCATTGTCATCCTCGTCCTGCTGCTTATTGGTGAGTGAGCTGTGGCTGAGGGCAGCTACCTGCCCTCGACACTTTGCTGTGGCTTCTGCCGCAAATCCCTGTGCCATGTTCCATGTGAAACGTACAGCTTTGGCTTCTCAGAGACAGGCCACTTAAGTGGCCCCTGTTTCTCTTGGGGAAGAGGCTTCTGTTATCCACGGAGAGGGTGCTGCTGACTGCTGGCAGGGTCTTCACTTTGACCAGCAGCCTTTTGTACACCCTTTGATGACCACCTCACATCTCTGGGGCGGCTCCTCAGGTCATTCTAGAACTGAAACCAAGAGAAGCTAACTGGCCCATGATGACCTTGGTCTAAGTAGTGCTGTTCTCCAGTCACTTAGACAGAAGTATCAGTCTCCTTCGATGCCTGAACTAGGCCATGAATAGGCAATGGTGACCAAGTAGACAGGGAGCCTAGCTGGGAAGGAAGCTGCCCTGTCCTGTAGGATGGGGGGACTGAGAGGTCTGGCAGCATATCTAGGGGGCAAATCCCAGACCTCTGTGGGTCTGGGTTAGACTTCAGGTCTTTCGAGTCCTTCCACCTCTGAAGTTCTCTAAACCCCACATTGAGGTGCACACCAGCAGGGGCTTGAAAGACACACTGGTCCGAGGGTACGTACTGCTAAAGGATGAGGCCTGGGGCCACGTGGTGCTAAGATGGAAGGCAGACATTTTGTGACATGGTGGTGGCATGATTATTTGGAGAGACTAGAGGAATCATTACAGCTCTTGTGTGGCTGTTAAATGTGTATTTTGCTGTAGTAAGTGGTCAATATGTCCCTCTGCTTGGACTCCAAAGCA